CCACGGCGACCCCTCTTACCGAGACGGCTGCTGCTGTCCACCCGCAGCAGCGCTCGCGTCGCGGTGGCCGTGGCCGCCAGGGAGGTAGGGGTGGTGACGCAGGTGGTAGTGGTCGTGGTGGTGGTGACGGTAGTCCGCCTGAGGGGACTACCACCGGTGGGCAGGAGCAGCAGTCCCAGCAGCAGCAGGACCAGCCCCAGCCGCAGCCGCCGTCCCAGCAGCACCCGCCGCAGCCGTGGGCTCGTCTCCCGCCTGGTTGGCCCGGCACCTCCGGAGGCGGTGGCCGTGGTGGCGGCCCGCGCAGCTTGGCGTCTACCAGCGGCTCCAGTGCTGTGACCTGCCAGTACCAGCTTCAGACCGGGCCTCTCCGCGGCACTCTGTGCCGCCGCCCGCACCCGACCGCCCACTGTTTCCGCCGCCTCGACGATCTTTTTCGTCGTCGCTTTGGCCCGGCCCCGGACCTCCCTGACTGGCACAGCCTGCTCCGCCAGGGCGTGCCGATCTTTGAGTTAGACATGGATCAGATAGGTGCTGCTTTGCATGCTTTGTATGCTGACGCTTCTAGTGTTGATGGATCTTACTACCATGTGTACTCTAGTTTAGGTGTTTCACCCTTGTGTAGCTTAGCTTCCCCTGCTGCGACAGGCGTAGGACTGCCTAGGTTGCCTAGTCTAGTCGCTGCACCGGCTCCGTCCGCGGCCTCCGCCACTGCGTCGCTGTCCTTCACTCTCGACTCTGGTGCTTCTGCCTGCTTCTTCCGCGACCGTTCCACGCTCACGCCGCTTGCTGCACCTGCTGTTGTCTCTCTCGCTGACCCCTCTGCGGGTCCGGTCGTCGCGCGCAGTTCTACGTCCCTTCCCTGTCCGGCAGTTCCCTCGGGCTCCCTTACTGGCCTCCACGTTCCCTCGTTCTCCAGGAACCTGGTTGGTGTCGGCTGTCTCCAGGACCTCGGCGTCACCACCACGTTCCCCGGGCACGAGCGGTTCGCTGTCTGTTCTGAGGCTGTCTCAGGTTCCCCCCTTGCGACGTTCCCCCGGGACCCGGTGTCCGGTCTGTTTACCCTACACACCGCTTCCCCCCCGGTTGGTGCGTCCTCCCAGGTCGCTGCAGCTTGCTCGTGTCGGTCACTCACTCACCCCTCCCTTCTCTGGCACCACCGCTTAGGTCACCCTGCTCTCCCGCGTCTGCGTCACATGTCCCAGCACGGTCTTGTCTTAGGTCTCCCCGCGTCGCTCCCTGCCCTTCCTCCCTCGACTGCGCCACCGTGCACGCCTTGCGTCGAGGGTCGGCTCCGCCGTGCTCCTCACTCCTCCTCGCTGCGTCCTGCTACTGCCCCCCTTCAGACCCTGCACTTGGACGTTTGGGGCCCTGCCCCCGTCCCCGGACCGCGCGGTGAGCGCTACTTCCTTGTGCTCGTTGACGACTACACGCGCTACACCACGGTGTTTCCCCTGGAGCGGAAGGCCGACGTGCCCGACGTTCTTCTCCCGTGGGTTGTAGCTGCGCGTCTCCACCGCGGTCTCCCCGTGTTGTGTCTCCACTCCGACCGTGGCGGCGAGTTCGCCTCTGGTCGGCTTGGACAGTTCTGTCGTGCGGAGGGCATCACCCAGTCGTACACGTTGCCGGACTCGCCACAGCAGAATGGGGTTGCTGAGCGCCGCATCGGCTTGGTCATGGAGGTCGCCCGTACCTCCATGATCCATACCGATGCCCCCCATTTTCTGTGGCCGTTCGCTGTTCGCTACGCGGCTCACCAGCTTAACCTGTGGCCACGCTCCCAGCGGCCGCAGGTTTCGCCGACCCTCCTTTGGACCGGGTCCCCCGGTGACGCGTCTGCGTTCCACGTCTGGGGCTGCCTTGCTCACGTTCGTGCCTCTGGCACGGACAAGCTCACTGCCCGCACTGTCCCCTGTGTCTTCCTCGGTTTCCCACTGGACTCGTCTGACTGGCTTTTCTACCACCCGCCGTCTCACCGCTTCCTCCACTCTCGTGACGTCACCTTTGACGAGTCCGTCTCCTTCTACCGCCGCTTCCCTCACCGAGGTCTCCCAGTTGCCCCCCCCCTTTTCCTTGCTCCCTCTCCCCCGGTAGCCCCTGCCCCTCTCCCGCCTCGTCCTGCCCCGTCTGGTGTCTCCCACGTCACTCCCCTCCCGTCGGTTGTCCCCGTTGAGGAGTCTGCTGACTCTGGTGGTACCCCCGGTCCGTCCTTGCCGCGTCCCCCTTCCCCAGTGCCTCCGCCCCCACTGTCGCAGTCGCCGACCCCGCTGCCGCCGCCGTCGCCGTCGCCGCCGCAGCCGTCGCCGCTGTCGCCGCCACTGCCGCCGCTGCTCTCGGCCCCTGGGGGTGCTGGTGTGGAGGAGGGTGTTCGTCCTGCGGCTTCTGGGGGTGCCGCTGGTGTTGGAGGGGGTTCTCGCTCTTGGGGTGTTGGTTCTGGGGGTGCTGCTGTTGAGTGTTCTGCCGACGGTCGTTCTGCCTCTGCTGGTCCGAGAGTTCCGGCCCAGCCGTCGTCGCCGCCACAGCAGCCGTCGCCGCCGGTTTCCGCTCTCCGCCTGCTCGGCCTTCCCTCCCCGGACCGCGCGCCGGTGTCTCCCCCACCGCCTCCTGACCTCCCTGTCTACGGTCCTGTGTTCCCGCCGCCAGACTCGTCTCCGGCCCGTCTTCCTCCTCGTTCCCCTCCTGTGTCTCCTCCGCTGTCCCCTGACCCTACCCCTCCGTCTCACGTTTGGGCTCGCCGTCCCTCCCGTGCTCGTCCCGTCTCTCCTGTCCTGCCCACCCACCCTATGTTGCTCCGTTCCCACTCGTCTCGTCCTCCCCTCCTCCCGTCCCCTCCTCCCTCGTCCCTTGCTGTTGCACCTCCTCCGTTCTCTGACTACCTCCGTGCTGCTCGTCCCCTTTTCCCTCGGGTCCTTGCCTCTCTTGTTACCGACCCTGCTGTTCCTGTCTCGCGCCTTGACGCGCTTGTCGCTGCTGTCGCTGACTTCGCTTCTACCCACCGCCTTGACTACGCTACCGCTCTGGTCTCTGACCCTGCCCGTCCTCTGTCCGTCGGGGGTGCTCCTGCCCTTGGCAGTGACGTCCTAGAGGACAGGCAGTACGAGCTGGCTTTCCTTTCCGAGGCTGCTCCCCATCTCTGCTCCATGCTGTTAGTCCCTGAGGGTGACCCAGACGCCTTCGACATCCCTACCCCTCGCACCTACGCTGAGGCCACCTCGGGACCTTGGGCCTCTCAGTGGATAGCTGCCATGGAGCAGGAGATGGCATCTTGGAGATCCACCGGCACTTACGTCGACGCAGTTCCCCCGCCTGGGGTGAACGTAGTCGATGGTCGGTGGCTCTTCAAGGTGAAGCGCCCCCCTGGAGAGCCGCCTGTCTTCAAGGCGCGCTACGTGGCCAGAGGTTTCAGTCAGCGCGAGGGGGTTGACTTCTTCCAGACCTTCGCCCCGACCCCGAAGATGACCACTCTTCGGGCGCTGCTACACGTAGCAGCACAGCGTGACTACGAGCTTCACTCTCTCGACTTCTCTACTGCCTTTCTTCAGGGCAGCCTACACGAGCAGGTCTACCTGCGCCGACCACAGGGCTTCACTGGTACCTTCCCTCCTGGGACCCAGTGGCTTCTCAGGCGCCCGGTCTACGGCCTGCGTCAGGCTCCCCGCGAGTGGCACGACACGCTACGTGCCACGTTAGCAGACCTGCAGTTCTTTCCGTCCTCTGCTGACCCTTCACTGTTTGTGCGTTCCGGCCAGACTCCGTTCTACATCCTTGTCTACGTAGACGACCTGGTCTTCGCTACTCCTGACAGGGACGCACTGGCCTCTGTGAAGGCTGAGCTGCTGAAGAGACACACCTGCACTGACCTTGGAGAGCTGCGTCGCTATCTTGGCCTGCAGATCTCTAGGGACAGAGCAGCACGCACCATCACTCTGACCCAGTCACACTTGGTGCGTCAGGTCCTTCAGAGGTTCGGTCTTCAGTTCTCCTCCGCACAGCCCACACCTCTACCCGTAGACCATGGGCTCTCTGCTCCCGTTCCTGAGGAGCCAGTAGAGCCCAGTGGCCCCTACGCAGAGCTGGTGGGTTGCCTCATGTACCTGATGACTTGCACTCGCCCAGATCTCGCATACCCTCTCAGCATCCTGGCTCGCTTTGTGGCTACAGGCAGACACCGACCTCAGCACTGGTCTGCCGCTAAGAGGGTTTTGCGTTATCTTGCTAGTACATCAGGCATGGGGTTAGTGCTAGGAGGACGCAGGCCAGTGGTCCTTACTGGGCACACAGACGCTTCTTGGGCAGACGACGCTGAGACGCTCAGGTCGTCGCAGGGCTACTGTTTCAGCCTTGGTTCGGGTGCTATCTCTTGGAGATCCACTCGCTCGTCGTCTGTGGCTCAGTCTAGCTGTGAGGCTGAGATCTACGCTGGTGCCATGGCGGCACAGGAGCTCCGCTGGCTGACCTTCTTGCTCACAGACTTAGGTGAGCGGCCTAGCTCTGCCCCGGTCCTGTACGCTGACAACAGGGCCATGATACTCCTGTGTCAGGAGCCTCGGCTTGAGGGCAGAGCGAAGCATATCCAGCTGCGGTACTTCCTCCTGCGCGAGCTACAGCAGCGCCGCCAGGCCCGCGTAGTTCACTTGGCCTCAGGTGCCAACACAGCTGATATCTTTACTAAGGCGCTTGCGCCTAAAGATCATCAGCGGCACTGTGTACAGCTTGGTCTTGTTCCTATAGCTGCTCCCCTGTTAGGATCCTGATTGTGTACTCTCTATTATATATGCTTGTCAGACTGGCCTTGTGGCCTTACCTCCAGTGGCTGGACTAGTAGTGCCACCCTGGCTTGCTTCAGTTTTGGTTGTATTCTTGCTGACTGGTCTCCAGACCCCTGCCTCAGTGGTTGGACTAGTAGTGCCGCCCTGAGCTGTTTGCTTCTTGTTTAGTTTCACCCCTTGTCTAGCCTAGGGGGTGTGTCAACTTATACATATTATCTATGTAGAAGTTATAGG